TCCTCCCCCCGTGCCGGCCTCAGGGGCTCTGGTGCCCGGGCGGGGCTGCCCAGGGGGGAGGCGGGCAGCTGCAGCGGGCGTTGCTTCTCGCAGACACACCAGACGATCGTGGTGCAGCTGCTGCAGTCCACCACGCGGCTGCTCGAGTGCCCGTGGCTGCAGCAGCAGCACAAGGGCTCGGTGGAGGCCTGCATCCGGACCCTGGCCATGGTGGGTGAGTGCCCTCCGGCGCCCCGGGCGCCTGCCCACAGTAGACACCCGTCCCCTGCTCCCAGGCGCTTCTCAGTAAGTCCTCCTTGGTGTCTGACTAGCACGTTGGGGTGGGAGAAGGTGTTCTCCCCCGAATCTGCCCTGGAGGAGAAGGCTGGGTGGCCGTCCTCACAGGGAGGGGGGAGGCCTGTAGGTGGATAGGGAGAGTGGGCAGGGGAGGGACAGGGATCTAGGGTGGAATTAAAGAGACAGAAACCCCCTCTTTTACCCAAGCAGAAGAGGGCACCTCATCCAAGTGGGGCCAGGTGGGGGTCCCTGCACCCAGAGCCCCGGGTGGTTCACCTTGCTCCCCAGCAGGCAGCCCTGGCTCTGCGCCCCCGGCTGGCTCAGCCTCCCTCCTCTCCCCCAGCCAAGGGCCGGGGCATCTCGCTGCCCATGGACCTGGATGCCCACATCAGCTTGGTGCTCAGCAGTGGCGCCAGCTGTGTGGCTGCCGCCCAGCGGAACGCTTCCAACTACAAGGCGTCCACGCGGGCCTTCCCGCGAGTCACCCCCACGGCCAACCAGTGGGACTACAAGAACATCATCGAGAAACTGCAGGTGGGTGTGGGCGGCCACGGGAGTGGTTGGGGAGGGCGGTGCTTGAGGAGCACCCCTTCCTGTGCCGCCCGCGCCCTCCTCGGGGGCTGCTCACTGCAGGGAGGACCCAGGGCCCGCTGGTGGGGTCGGTGCTCACGCGGGTCAGGACCCTGCACAGTCCTGGCAGCACCTGTCCGCTCAGGCCGTGCACCTGTCCACTGTCTCGTTGGCCTGTAGTTACCCCACGGCAGGAGACAGGCTCAGAGCGGGAAGGGGGTTGCCCAAGGTCACAGAGCTGGAGGGGGGCCCGCAGCTCCCAGCCAGGGGCTCTGAGCAGACAGACGGCATCCTCTGTGTGGGG